CTACACTCCTTGACCCTATATGAATACAATGAACCAATTTGATCGTCAATTTAAAATATTATATTTTTCTAACAAAATAATTTTTTTATTTTATTTATTTTTATTTTTGTAAAGACTTTGCGAGACGAAGTTTAGAAATTCGTCGCGCAAAGTCATGCAAAGATTTTTATAAAAAAAATTATTTTATTTATTTTTGTAAAGACTTTGCGAGACGAAACACACTTCGTCGCGCAAGATTTTGTGCACCGAATTTGATTTTTTCGTCGCGCAAAGTCATGAAAGATTTTTACAAATAATTTGTTATTTTCTTTATTTTTGTAAAGACTTTACGAGACGAACCACACTTCGTCGCGCAAAGTGACTTTGTGCGACGAGTTGTGTTTCGTTGCGCAAAATTTAGTCCCGTTAGACTTTGAGCGACGAAGTTTAATTTTCGTCACGCAAAGTCATTTTGAGCGACGAATTATGTTTCGTCGCGCAAAATTTGGTCGCGCAAGGGGTTTTTTTTACTAGTGCTTCCTGCTAGATCTAAGGTATGGTATTTAACCTTTTCCTGCTCTAACCCAACGAAAGAATGGGGCCAGCGTTCTCGTTGGCACACTTTCTGCCCTCACGGTTTTGTTTCTGGGAGCTCACAAGTAACTTCTCAGTGGGTCACCCATCTTGGGATTGCTCTGGCCCCCAACTCGTTTAACTTCGGAGTTCCTATGACTCCGAAGCCAGTGAGCTCCCAAAAGGCCTCGTGCTAGGAAGAGAAGTGCCCACACATTTAAAGCACTTCACCTTTCCCTCCCCGAGCGATGTGAGATTGCTCACCGTCCTTGTTTCCCCAAGACACGGGTCTTACATGTGTTTTATTCTTTTATTTATTTTCGGGCCTTGACCTCGTGTTCCAATCGAGTTTTTTATTTTTATTTTTATAAATTTAGGGCAGGTTTTCCTCAACTTTGAATCTTTTTGACATCCCCACTCAATTGCAGTTGGAAAGAAAATGATGTTGTGCAATTGATTGTCGAATTATTTGACGTTACATATTGGTTGTCGAATTGTTTAGTATGTTTTAGCAATCCCAATAATTGTGGTGTATGCTTGAGTTAAGGTTTGGCTAACAATACTTAAATATTAGATGCCCCATACTTTGGCTGCGCTCACAGTTTACCACCTACCCCATCTGTAATTTAAGCTGACTAGCTATTTAAAATGATGCGTGTCCTTTCAGCTTTTTTGGTGCTCAAGGAATGTTCATTGAAGACTAACTATGCTGTCCTCTATTCTCTGTATAACAAGCAGGTAAAAGTTGGGTGCACACGGCAGGAAAGGAAACTAGCTAGTGTTCTTGACATTGATATGAAAGCGAACATTTGTTGCTTTTAAGTATAATTTTTTATCTATAGCAACTGCATTGCAGTATATATTACATGAATCGTATCTGTACGTACACTTTGAAAGTAAGATATTGGTCCCCTGTTGATTATCTTGCATGAGACTAAATCCATTTAGAGTAAAATGCACCTAATTCTGGTACCCCTATGAACTTCAATCCATTTCATTGGCCACTTCTCCAGTATGGATTTGACCCATTCCAAAGAAAAACTTGTGGTGGCAACTCAGCAGTAACTCCATTACAAATGTTCCGGATGATGGATCATTTGCAGATTTCCACGAATCCAAGAAGCGTCTCTCTCCAGTTTTGGTGTTCAATCCTATCATCATTTGAGGTAAGAACGTATCACAGGGATAATCATAGCTTTCCCAAAAGATTCCTCCAGATATATGATCTCTCAAAATGAAGTTTCCGGAGTCTAAAAGCACTAGGCGGGCTGCACGCATGGGTCTAACGCCTAGAGGAGTAATCGGGGGCCCTTCTCTTCTTTTGTGTTTTTTTTCTTCAACATATAAATGCAATTTTCCTTCTCAAACCCTAACTCTAACAAGAGCCGTCTTCCAGCCCCCTCTCTCTCGCTCAGACTTCTTCTTCAATCCTCATCTCTCTTTCTCTCACTCATAGCACCATCGGGACCTTGGAGATTCAAAAATGGCCTTTTTTTTTCTAGGAACAGCGCCCGCCTAGCCCGCCCTCCTAGACCGCCTAGAGCCCGCCTAGCGACCACCTAGAGCGCCTAGCGAGCCTAGCCCCAGCCTAGACCGCC